CAATAAAGTATCTATCTATTCAGCATGGTAATATTTTAACATCATGACAGAAAACTGCAAGAAAACTGATGGAGATGCAACAGTAAATACATTTCATTAAAATACAACATTCAATAAGTCTTAATTTTCTCAGCAAACTTAACCTTGCTCCTAACTAACTACTTGAACAATGTTTGCTTTATCTCTGGTACAATTTCTCAATGTGCTTTCAATTATGAAATAAGATTTTTACTTCTCTCAAAGCACAGAGCACTAGCAAACCTGTAGTTTATAAAACATGTCTTTCTCCACAGCTATTGCACACAACCTGCTCCAAAAGTACAAGGTATCGGTATTCTAACATTTCAGACTTACACAAAAAAGAAACATACCCCACTCATTAAATTAATAAACATCTGCTTATTATCATCACGCTAATAAAACACTAAAGCAGGCAAAACAGCAATTCAAGCAACAATTCAATGTACAAGCTATGAATAGAAGCTGGATTTTCCTCAATAAGGACTACAAAGAAATCTTCACTTTTGACCCCAGCTAACAGAGACACTGACCATATCACCTTCAAATCACTTGCTTAAACTTCCAGCTGCCCTGAGCTGAAATGGGATCCCTGCTGGAAACAAGATATTGCCTCTCATCTTGGCTACGCTAACCACCCGGTGACAATTTCTAAATGAAACAGAAAGCCTCTGATTCCACACTGATTAAGCCATTGCATACTAATGAACTGGGAGCATGTAGAGCCTGACAGCTGCTGTGGTCTCATCTCCTCTGGCAGCTCCGACATCTCGAAAAGGATGACCTGCTTACAATGTGGCTTGTGAAACACAATTAAGAAAACACAAATGAATAGGCAGGGATTTACAGAACACCGCTATTTTTCTAAACAACTCTTTGAATTAAACATATGTGTGGCATACTGAAAAAGAATCAAAAATAAAAAATTAACCCTGAATTAACCAAATCTAATGCTAATCAAAACCTTTTGTTCCAAGTCTGCAATGCAGTGAATTGCTCACATTTAAAGGAGCATTTAGGGACCTACTGGTTTCTTAAGGGCATGTTTACTACAGAACAAGCACTCAGTAGTCTAGGCATTTTGAATCACAAGAAGTAGTGTCACAACAAATATTACCACAGTACAGTGCTGTCAGCTGGCCTTGCCAAAGCCTCTCCCATGACCATGAAAAGCACTTGCATGACCGACTGCAAGTGAGCTGCAGTAATTTAATGTCTTTCCCCATTCCCCTGAGGTCATCCTCTCATCCTGGCTAAGAAAGAAGCTTGTCAGTACTACGAGGCGAATACACAATTTATCCACTGTAGTTAGATTAAAACTTGGAGAGTTTCTGAAGAATGTCAGCAAAACAATAGGAGACAAAAACTCTCCATATCACTTCTTTGAAAAGCAAAGTATTGCCTTCTAGGTCATCACTGCCCTTAATCTCTGTATGGCCTGGCCTTGACAAATTACCACCTTGTGATAAAAATTAAGAGTATACTAAAACAACTGTTTTGCAACACATGTGGTTCTATTTTTTCAGTTTTGATAATATTTTGTAAGAACATTTGATCTCTAGTAATAAGAAAAGACTAGACCATAAAAGGCAAAACAAACTCAAATCGGTATGCTGCCTTTGAAATGATCCATCAGAACTGTTTAAACAACCATGACATGACAACAATCAAAATGATTTACATAACCAATTTGGTTCAGCTTTTATGAATAATATTTCCAAATAGCTTTAATTTAATATACAAACCAGGAATGTGGCCAGTTAAAATGTTTAATGGGCAATGCAAAGCAGGGTAGAAAATAAGATGCATTTACTGGACCAAAAACCTGGACTTGTAGGAAGAGGCCTGTGTTAGGTTTTGGGATGCACTGTAATCTACTGATTAAATGTATGGAAAGGAATATCTGAGAATATACTTGATATAGTTTTATAACAGCCTGTGATCAAATAGCTGGCAGCAAAATTTAACAAAAAGAATCCGATATTGACTGATGTGCACCAACTTACGTTTGCTCCTTATATGCAGTTCATATGAAATGAAGGACTGAATTAAAAAAACACAAATAGATTGATTTGTGGATTACTTTATTTTACAACTCAGGAAATAAGCTATTACTGTTTCAGAAAAAGATCTCTTTCTAAGCAGATGCAGTACAGACCTGCCTGTGATGATCAGTGATTATCTTAAACCTCTGCTTGTTCAGAGTGACATTACATGCAATCTAAATGTTTAAACAGCCTGTGCTACTATGGTTACAAATAACCAGCCTAAGTATAGTCCTAGAATTATCAAGACAAGTTGGAGTAATCTTACCAGTTTACTGGGTTATGAAAATAAGAGGAGAGGAGAGCTTTAGCAGGTGGAATGGAATGCTTGCTTGTAGACATTCATATAATATTCAGTAAGATATAATAAGCATAATAAATAAACAGGTTATCTGTTTGAATGCATGCAATTAAGTGTAAATGTATTCATTATTTTTGTTATAAAATAAACCGATTTTGCAAAAGCAACACATTCATTCAGATAGTCCTTGTTGCAAGTTAAGTCGGGGAACAGCAATGTCATTTTGGCAGCAGACACAAATGTCATATTTTCTGGGACGTTTACATGCCAGGCAAGGCTACTCTTGAGTGTTTAAACAGAATCGCAAGGACTCCATTTCGCCAATTAACATTTAAAGCCAAATACCCATAAATACTGAGCACAGAGCACTTACGACCCAATAAAAATAACTATTTGGTGCATGCGGTTGTTGACTGGGTGAAATGGCTTACAGAACCCATTTTCTTTAGGCCTATTATGCCTACATATAGAATCATTATAAGTACATGGCGGTTAATTCAAATTATCTTGAATTTATGCTGATGACCTGTGGAAAAAAATGTATATACCCAGTAGAGGAGAACCTGAAGATACACCAGTTCCAGCTACCCTCTCCATTTCTTTTGATAAACTTTTTGATAAAATAAGTAAAAGAAGATAGAATCAAACTGCATGTGTCCAGATATGGTGTGGATATGGAATCACAGATGATAAAATAGGATATTTATTATTTCTGAAGTGCGAAACATCACATTTGTTACTAAGTTAGCTGCCAATGTTTAAAATAGATTTTTATTATAGACATTTACATACACTAGGTAAAGTTAGCTTACAGTATTTATCAATGAAGAACACAGACCCCATATTTCATTGTTAGATATACATAAGATTGCCACCCTCTAATTATTTGAAACAGACTGCCTGAGCCCTTTGCTGACGTTTTCACATGTTTAAAGTTTTTCCTTGGATATGTGCCTGAAACCATCAGTGCAAGTGCCTCTGCTTGTGGTACACACAGAAGTATCTGTCCCGGCTTAGGTGGCTGCACCAAAAACACTGAATCTTGACATTGGCAGCATTTTGGAGCATACAATTAATACAAAAAGTGACTGGTATTTAATATCCTCAATTATTTTTTCTTAATGAAATAATTCATTTTATCACACAAAAGGCTTGCTCATTCTGTTCCAACTTCCAAACCAGTTTAAAAATGTTAGTAAACTGAATCAACTTTGCTAATGGTGTTAGGATGTGAAAACTTCAATTTTGTATTTACTACACATCTAATCAACACATTGGCCAATTCAAATACCAGATGTAGTATAATGTAAGCGATTCATGGTGGAATTTGTTCTGTAGATCTGCACCAACACTAAATCAGAAAGTGATTTCACCAGGGTTTTTCTAAAGCAAATGAAGATCTGGTGAACTCCATATACTTTAAACCACAAATACTTCTTAAAATAGAACTTATGCCATCATATAATTGTGGTCAGTTCACACTGGCTGAATATCAGGGATTGCATTCAATAGCAAGGGTCAATAATTCAGGGCACCTTTCCCCTGTGAAGAATGTCATAACCAAAGCATAAGTACATAAATCATCCAAACTGATGAACCTTGTTGTTCACAAGGCAAGCCTTGACTTCTGCTCTGCACAGCAGGAAGGACAAGTGAAGACTCAATCAACACTCCCCTCCATGCTAATACAGAAGCTGAGACCCTGTCTATGCCATTTAATTGAAAATTATAAACCGAGATCCCACAGAAACCACACTGCATTTATTATTAACTCATTCTATGTATTCTGGCTGCGATAGAAACACAAAAACCACAGTACAGTATCTGTTCTTTATATTACTGTAGCTGGCTTTATTGTACGTCATTAAAATGATTATGAGTGAATCGCCTACATCATTATTCAAAAGAAAAAAAACATATTTAAAATGAACATCAATTTTTCCTGTGTTACTGGGGTGTTCAAAGACATGTAGGAAGCAGACTTTCAACGCTTAAGACGAAATAAATGTTCTCCCGTGTCTTAATGGCAATGCACCAGACGGAAATATTCACTTGATAATACTGAACACAGCGCTTACGTATTTCATGATACAACAAATGATTCATACGATGTGCTAGTCTAGCGACTCAGGATAAGTATAATCGTAGGAGTTGGGAGAAACATTTTGGCAGGATGCTGTGGGAAAGCCCAAGACAAGCGGTCAGGCTCATGTAAAGCAGCCGGTCGCACGGTATGCCCACCGAAAATAGCAAATCAACTTCGCATAATAAGCACCGGTTAAAAATGATAAAAGTTGCAGATACAAGTTAATTTTAAACAATTTATATCGCCTACTTAGTTTCACCGCTCCAAGTATGTATTTTACAAACAAGCAGGATCCGTTGTGAAATAACAATGACGATAAGGAGATTCACTTATGCAAAAGAAAATTGTCATTCATCAATATCTAATTAACCCCGTTATGGTAAACATTAGCTACCTTTTCAACATTCAATCATTTTCGCTGAGCATTCCGGCCAGTCTCAGGTATTATTGTTTTTTTATGTTCTAAAGCATCAAATGTAAAATACCTGCCCTTGCACATAGCATCCTGAACGGTGACCATTAATAATAGCGATTAAATAAATCTACTTACCGTGTTGATGTTCCCTTCCTGACATCACACATCATGCACTTGAAAGCCTCGGCGCTGTTCCTGAATGTGCAAACGCTACAGTCCCAGTATCCTTCGTCAGAAGAAGGCTTGGGTTGCCGCTTTGGCCTTCGAACAAAATAGCAGACGGTCAACACTGGTTTAATGCAGCGCTTACAGCCCCTTACATTCAGCTTTGAACACTTGTTTATAAACAAAAAAAGTACGGACCCCTTTTGACTTCAAGAGTCAAATTTACGAGGTATATGTTTTGACACTGTAATAGAACAGCCCGTCCGCCATGGTTGCTACACTACAGCGGCCACCTCATTCACACACACAGCGTTGTAATGCTTTAATTATTCAGAGCCGCCGCATTTTAGAGCAACCCTCTTTCTTATGCATTGGTGAACTGCTTTACCTTGTCGGGCTCTTCTTGTCTCCCATGTTGCTGAAACCTGATTTGTTTATACTGAAATACGAACAGAAAAATTTGATACAAAAAATGACTAAGGCGCCCGGATCACAGCTCCCAGCTGTCGTGGAAACTCCAGTAGGAGGATCACGTGGTGGGGGGCTAACCAATCAGCCGGCAGACAATTTCCTGAAAGAGAAACATTAAGCTGAAGGCGGCAGGTTTGCATATGATGGAGGTTACGGATGTTGTTTTGTTTTTTTTCTTTCTTCTCGCTTGAGTCATCTGAGGTCTAGCGTGATCCAAGTCGTATGAGGATCTTTGTGTTTCAAACTGATGTTTCATAAATATTAATCCAAACGGGAAAATCAATTTCTTCTCGTCTCAAAGGCAGTTGGGGCGTGCGGTGTTTATGTCGGATCAGCTGATTCAACTGGGGGAACTGTGCTAAAGATTAAAGTTCGAAGAAATGCTTTTCGGTTCCAGAAAATATCTGAGACTCTGAGAGATGGAGCTAAGCTGTAAAAATATTTTTACATCGTAATAAAAACTTAATCTGTCTATTATTTTAAAAATATATTGGTCTCGGTGACAGTTTTCCCTTCTGTTTCTTGAGGATCATTGTCCACTGCATCATCCTGAGATATTTTGGGACATTTCTGTTGATTGGGATCCCCGAAGGAATTATACTATATGGCTATGTTAATGATTGAAGAGATCTTTTACATCGATGTTAAACTTCAGGGACTCCCAGTATTTTGGGAAAAAAATGATTGTTCTCTTAAAATGAGGGGGACTTCATCTTCTTAAAGTCGGTCTAGCTTTCTTTGAAACCTGCAGAAAATGAATGGATGGATGCCCTTTAATCTACCCAACATAGTAGTGGATTCTATTAATATGCTATTACAAAACGAGCTTTGGGAAACATAAATGTCATACAGTACTAAATGAGGGACACAGGACCGCAAATGGGTGGAAGTGTCCATAAATTTGGGAATTTTGCAGAAGCAAAAGGTAGCATCGTTTAAATAATAAGCATTCACTCAAGCAGTGTGTTCTTGGTGGCAGGACAGCCTGCACATAGCAGTCAAATATGTCAGGATAAGGAAACAGTACAGGACTCAGGATTCCCTTCCCCTAGCAATACCAAAGCTCTCCAAGAAGGACAGTTATACAGGTGCAGATAATGGAACCAGGCAATCTACACACAAAGAATACAACATTAGTTTACAGTTACAAGTAGTTACCTAAATAAAGTAATGAAACCAGGTAACAAAGCACAGCCATAAACAAGAGAACATTATAAATAAGATGCAGTCCATGGGATTACCAGCTTCTCATAGGAGGTGAGTCACCGGCTGCCACAGTGAGGTGTAAGGTTCCCTAAAATGGTATCCTGTTACTGTACATGGTTACTGAAAACATAGTGACAAACCATACTATCCTCAAACATTTCCATCAGCTAGATACCATCAGCACCAATGATCAACTTCGAGTCTGATCTTGTTAGGTCTCAGAAGCTAAGGTCTGGTCAATACTGGGAGGAGAGGCCTCCTCTCCTTCTCTAATTAGTATTGTTGCACAAGCAGGGGACATTGTTCCCTCTGAACCTGATTCAAAGTCTTAGTAGGATGACCAGGAATGCTTTTAAGTGATAGATGAAGTATATCGTCTCCTATTTGTAAAGCAACTAACTTCTAATAAAAAAATCTCTTTTTCCCCAAGCTTTGGTGTTGTGTTTGGATATGTCACACGTTTATTTTGAACATTTGTTTCAAAGCATGTACTGTATCCTTCCAATGGATTCAAATGCGACTCCTGAACAGGATTCCATATGCTGATAGAGAGAGGTTGTGATAAAGAAATGCATCAACTTTACACTCAATTCTTCTGCCGTGGACTTCTCAGCATGGCGCACTGCTGATCTGCTTCCTTCCTTTGCTTCTTGGCAGTGGATGTTTTCAGAAGCTATTATTTGTAGAATAGTTGGCATCACAAGTAGACGCTTTTGAGAAATATATGAAGGGATCAACAAGCACAATTTTGTATGCTTCAAGAAAGAAATTGAAATAACAGTAAAATGCGCGAGCTGAAGATAGTGGTCAGGATGCACATGAACAGTTATTCTGATGCTTCTGATCTACATTTCTGCAGGCACTTCTGCTACCATGTTGGGGCCTCTTGAAACAGGATGGAGTACTGTCTCATTTACCTTCTATCTCTGCCACTTGAAAATTGCAGGTTTGATCTCCGTCTGTCTCTGATAATGGCACTTGTCTGCTACCTGCTTTAGAATCTTTTTTGAGTTCTAATGGACATATGTATTTCTTTGTGGAATTGAAATTTTCTGCAGGCTATAACCCTGCCACAAATCATCCAGATGGTTGTGTCAGATTGCAGGTCATCTTTCTGGGCACATTGTTTGACTATTCTGTGAATGACTGGATCAGCTCTTAAGAACAGGCAGCTGTGGCAATACCTGGGTTTTGGCCAAAGGTTTAGACTTTCTTACATACAGTATATAAAGTATGTTTAATCTTAAAGGGACAATTTATATTATCTGTATTTTCTTAACATTTTTGTTGTTGGATAAACTATAGCTGTTTTGTGTTATGTGTAAATTGTAAATTTTCATATCACTATTTTGTTTTCTGAACAAATGTAGAAGCCTACAATCTATACTCAACATCAAAATAATAACAAGTGTGCTGAGGATGTACTGTACTTTAATGAATATACATGACATTGGTTCTTTATGCTGATTAACATTTGCCATGAATAGGTCTGATAAAGAGGCGGTCTATTGTGAAAGTTACATACTAGTGGTTTGTGTGGTCAACCCTGAAAGTAATTCAATCTGTAAAGCGTGGTTTGCTACAGGTTGCAGATTCTGTCCTAATCCTCTTGTAGTGCCTGGACAGGGGGACCCATGGCATAATACAGCCTTTAGTTTAGATTTTTGCTTTTTTTTTGGTAAATCAAGCCATAGTGAATTTCTGTGTTTCACTTTACTGATTTTCACCTGGCATTGCGTTTAACAACAGGTAAAATCACCTCACTCTCTCACTAATAAAGTGATTTAGAACTTATGTAATGGTCAGGTACTTGAGTGTGTCACATTCTAGTTATGAATGAGCAATTAATTAAAATGATGATTAAACATTTAATTAATACATTAAAAAGAGCAATACATTAAGTGGATGCTCAGTATTCAATTCAATAAGTTGTTTTCATTTTCATTCTATTTTAAGACCTAACCAGAAACTAGAAATATGAAAAGAGTAAGAATATATGTACAGGTACATCCATCCATTTCCTAATCCCTTCATCCAATTTTGGGTCACAGAGAAGCCAGAGCCTATACTCATAGGATAGGTAGGATATTCGCCAGTACATCCCAGGGCACAGAGACACACACAGTCATACCAGGATCAGTTTTTCCCAGAAGCTAATTAACGTACTAGTATGTTTTTGGAATGTTGGAGGAAATTGGAGCACCTGGAGGAAATCCACATGTACATACGAAGAACACTCAATGTACTCAATGTAGATAGCACCTCAGGTCCAGAACTGAACCCAGGGCCCCCAGCGATGCTGACCTCTGTGCCACTGAGCTGCTCAATATTTACATATGAAATGTATGGAGGATTCAAGAACTTAAATGAGATCACAGATGATATATAAAGTGTTATGAAACAGTTCTTTTCTGCACAGTGCCAAAAATATTAAACAACAGTGCATGAAGTCTGTAGGACTACTTTCTAGGAATGTGAGAGTAATGATTACTTCTTGCTTATGGGAACATCTATTCCAACAAATTTCTTAGAAAAAAGCCCTGTGAAGATTGCCTTCTGCATAGATAAAAACAGGTATTCTGGGTGTAGCAGAGCAGCACTACACTTGTTTTCACACCAATTTTCTCTAGGGAGAAGATGTAGTGATGGAGTGGAAAACTGCAAAGATAGGATGAACAGATGGCAGTACAGTTGAATAAAAAGTGCCTGTTCCATTTAAAAAAAATATTTATTGAAAGTAATGTAAATGACTTAGCTTAATTACTTACATAGAATACTTAGACTGCTTATTTAGAATATGTGATTTTGACATTAGATAGTGACATTGTGACGAGAAATATTGAATATACTCATATTATTTTTTATTACTTTATCTATACAGAAGGTTAAAGTCATGCAGAACGTCTTGTGTAATGATCTGTACTGTATATCACCTGACCTGAAAATGACCTGAACAAATATACCCTGACCATATATAGTTATACAAAATATTTTTTCCCACTGAGACCAGGAACAAATTCTGTTCAAGTACGTCTCTAACTCAGCACCACGAAGACTAATGTCTTGAAACGACTTATACTTCTGTAGAGGTAATGTAATACTTCACATTCTATTGTACTGCAATTTCTCTGTACGTATTTTCAAGAAGTCTTAAAACATAAGGTGCTCTGTTAAAAAGTGAGTATATTTTAAAAGCAGGCCAAAAGTACCATTTTAAATGATTAGCAACTCTTCTCTGCTCACATTTAACTGCAGATCGAATTCCCATAATAACATACTGTTCTTTTCATCACTCTATCCCCCAACTCATGATCTATTTTAAATCACTCCATTGCCAGCTCCTGTTAGCCACATAGGTGTTCTTTCTCCTCACTTTTGCACTCTCATCCTTCTCTATAGCACCCCTGTGGTGGTATCAAGTAAGTACGCAAAATCTGGACGGCACTATTATTAACTACCTTCTGCCACCTTCTTGAGACCCATCTGTTCAGATTGCACCCATAGATCCTCCAAAATGTTTTCTATTTTTGTATAGTTTTGCTTATTGTATAAATTAATGCATTATTTTATTGACACGCCATTCTACAGTTTTGCATCTTTGTATACCTTTAACAAGATAAAGGTGTCAGCTATATTAATGACCTCTAACATAGGGGCTGGGTGGGTAACTGCCTCAAACTTAAAAAGGCTATTAGTATTGGATCCCTTAAGCTGCATTATTCATAAAAGTAACTGGACACATGACTTGCTCTCATCACACACGCATTCAGTTAATTGTCCACTCAGAGAGTACAGTATCCTCCGTCTACAAAACATTGACATCTTTTCGGTGGAAATTCAACTATAGGTTCTATAAAAAGACAATGAATTTATTAACTGGCTTGGATGTCTGTTAATTGTAGGTCAGGGAAAATAAAATACTGCAATTTTACTCACATTCATGAGTAAGAAAATAGCTAAATTAATTTGACCTTGCATTTTTCTTTGACTTTGCAAACATTGTGTGCTGCTCCCGTGCACGTAGTACACACATTTACAAGTCATTCCTAATTCCATTCAGGCTTATATGCGAGTTAAGTGGTAACAGAAACTCAACAGCAACTTAAAATACATCTACATGCAAGAAACACAGATTCTTTTGGCAGTCTGTCTCCTCACAAAAAAATTGAGTATAGCAGCAGGTAAGTAATCACATAAGTAAACCTCTAAAGAGCTGTAATGTAACAAAAGAGCTACAGAGAGAAAAAAAAAACAGATTGTGTATTTTACATTATGGATTTGTAGCCACATTTAAAAAAAGTCAGTGTGTACATTCACTATAGAGCTTGTGAAATCTACGCCATATAGAGTTATGTAGCTAACAAAAGTATTCCTCAGCTCAAAACAGATTTAAAAGATCTTAATTACACAGACATGTTTTTAAAACAAAATGTTGCTAAAAACTACATTTAGTTGACATCATGTAGACAGATTCTGTTTACAACTTAAATTTACAGATTGCGAAGCATTCACAAAAAAAAATGAGGATCTAATTTTCAACACGACTTCTACAATTTAACAACATATATAGAAAATAAAACTTGTATTACCCTTATTACAACCATAGACACTTATTTAAGAATAAACCATTCACTGGGAAAATAAGTCTAAACAGTGATGGTAGTGCTCTGAATTGTTATATCCTGCAGGCCAGGATAATGAGCACAAGAGACATCAATCAAACTGTAACATGGAACTGATAAAAAGATGATAAAAGAGCACCTTTACCTCAGGAAGACTTTATGTATAGGACGTTATACAGGAAGGAAGTGTATCAGCAATTTATTTTGTAAAATGATAAACCACATTATACTGTTTGTTTCATGGTCAGGTATTGTTAAACAATTATAGTTTGGCTTTGAATTTAACTTTATACAAAGCATTTTGAATTTACAGATGTTCTAAAAATAAGCCCATATTTTTCCAGTAAGCATTGAAAACAGTATTCAACGACATTTTTTAAATAAAGTGATTCTACCACTATATTCCAGGAGATTATACTTTATGTAAATATCTGTAAAAACATTTTTGCAAAAATATGGTTAAAACATTTATTCTAAAACACACTGGAAAATGGATTCTATGTCCTTTATGATCATTGAAATAATGTGGTTAAAAGTTTGTGTTCCACACCACTTCTTGTAATACATCAAAGCTTGGAAGTGCTGATTTACACAGGTTTCAATCTTTACTTTTTATATAATAAATGATATAATACATAGATACTGTACAATGAAAGCTGTAATATTATATTAGGCTGATATACAAGCAAGATGCAGCCTTTATTTAGATAAGATAAGACACCCTGAATGGGAAGCCAGTCCATTGCAGAAAATGGGGGACAATTTAGAAATGCCAGATCTCATGTCTTTGGACAGCAGGAGTAAACTGGAGCACCAACCAAAACCCACATGGCCACAACAGAACACAAACTCCTCGCAGGAAGGGCCCCAGGCTTCGAACAGAACCACCAATTGAACCCAGCATAAGGCTAACAACCTTATGAAAAAATAAATAATACTTGTTATGAGTAATCTTGATAAAAAATGCTTAGTATTGCCATACTTATATCTACAAATGTTGGAGAACACAAAAATAATGAATTAAGAGACATATTTTTAATGTTAATTACTTAACTGAACTATCTGGAAAGATGTGAAATCACCTCCTTTTTACATATGTATTATCTGTAAAACCTATAGGACCCTGGCCCTTGAGAACTGCAGTTACCTATTCCTGCGGAAGTGATTGATTCTTGCTTCATACTTAGACAGACAAAAAATAGAAGCATCAAGTAAACCGTGACAAATAGGGTTTAAGAAATAAGGTGTAACATGATTATTTTATTCCTAATATGTGAAAATGCAATATAATACATTGTGTAGATTGTTCTGAAATAAAAGTTTTATCTCCATTGCAGTTAAGAAATACATTACTTTAAACTTTTATGTTTTTTGTTCCAACCTGAGCAATTAATGACACAAGCTAATAATTCTTATATACATATATAAATGATTTCTTAAGGTATTTTACACTTGACTGTTTGGAATCTTCACTTCATAAAATATATTGTTACCTTTTAAACACCACAGAGTCTGCTTTAAAACACCTACACAGTATTACAGTAATGAAGCTAATTTTATCATTAGAAAAACTATGTAGCTGAAAGGTGGGGTGGAATAAAAACAGAAAACAAAAGTCCCTCTAGGAACCAAGAGCTAGACCCCCCCATTCTAATGTGTTGTAAAAGTTTCCTGTTTCGAGGAATTCACAGATCTCAGTCACTCAGCTCTTCTTCATCACTGAAATATGCACTCTTTTTAATCCTTGGTCGCCTCAGCTCCTCAGAGGTGGAAGCTTGGTTAGCATTCTCTATATTCTGCCTCCGTCTGATTTCCTCTTCCTCAAGTCTTGCTTGCTGCAAACAAAGATATCGGTAATACATTATTTCTATGATAGATTTCTTAAAACCAAACTTTATAACTGAATAAGATACAAATAATTCACATTTAAAACCATTAACAAAATGACTTAGTGCACACAGAGATGCTATTTGTATAGTGATGCCTGCCACTATTTTTACTAGAGGTTCAGAACTGTTTCACACATCAAAATACCTAAGGACGGTGTCATTCTTTAAATGTTCAGCTGTTTTTACATGCACTATTTTTTTAAGATTAAACAAAAGCTTGTTGAGTATAACAAAACTCCCATAACATATGGTGAATATGATTATGTTCTACTAGCACAGGTAACATTTTTTAAATATCTTTTCAAAAGTGTAGGAATTCACTTCCTACATTCTGTAGGAAAAAAAATTCAGAACATGAAATAAAATAGGAACCACAAGTGTATGGAAAAAAATATTGTGTATTGATGCATTCTTATAATACCTTAAGGATCTATATTGTTCCACAACTTACCTGAAAAGCAATTGCTTGGCTGAGACTGTCAAGGGCAGGGTCTTCTCCTTCATCTTCACTTTCTTCTTCCTCACTGAACAATTTGCCAATAAATTACAGAATCATTATGTAAATGTCTTTTGCTTAATGTTTTGGTTCTTAATCTGCTGTAAATGTGTAAAGATTTTTCTGCTTCTAATTTTAAACTTTCACATGACTATTTGAAAAGATACTTCAAGTATGAAGGGGAGAAAATTATCACAGACAGAGAACATTATGCTGCATAATTACTATACACATTTCAGTACCCAGTGTTTCAGCACATTTTCAATTTTGAGAAAGTTATTTAGGGTACCTATATTAAAAAGTTAGGCTGGTAATTGAACAGGCTGACTGAAAATGTATTCAGTATGCAATCTGCAATTGAGTTCCACAAAATTTAAGTGTGTGGATTAACAAAACCCCAAGAAAACTGCTACATCAGCTTTCAGACTGATTTTAAGATCCTCTTTTTCAGAAGTGCAAAAATGAAGTAAATTATGTATACAATATATATTTTAAAATACATGACTGTGAGCTTTGGGATGTTTGCCATTACCAGTAGCCACAGGCTCAAATTACTGTACACTGCATTTTATATCTAAGGAGAGTGCTACATCAGCTTTGAAACTGATTTTTAGTTCCTCTTTTCCATAAATACAAAAAGAAGAAAATGATATACAATCCCTTCCAAAAGCATCTACTTCCCATCCCCATTTTTCTGAATTACCAATGATTTATACACAATTTCTGAAACCTAAATTTGTTTGGAAGCACAACGTTACACTGAATGCCCTCTGTCTGTGTGCAACAACAGTCATTTACGCAATTTCGGAATAATTATGTCGGTCTCTACAAGATCCTCAGTCTAATAGTATATTAAAGCAAAGAATCAAACTTTAAAAGAGCTTTCAAAACAACTAAAAAAAATAAAATGATGGAAAAACAAAGATCAAGAGAAGGCTTTAAAAAAATCAAAGGAACTAAATATGATGTTGCATGATGATGTCAATCTATAAGAAGAGATTCAAGTGAAGCTTGAGTGAGTCAAAAATGGTGGTGACAGTATTATGTTGTGGGGATGCTTCTAACAAAAAGAGACTGGAAATCTTGTGCAAATAGGAAAATGGAGGAAATTACAGGCAAATCACAAAGAAAAGTGAATAAAAGAAGAAAGTGAATTCTTAAAGAAAATATTATTGAGTCTCAGTCAAAGTTCTGTCCTGAATGTGATAGAAAATGTTTCAAGACTCAAGAATTGCTGTCCATCAGTGATGCCCAATTAACCTTATAGCTTGAACTAGTTACAGTACAGTAAGTATGTAAGGCTTATGCACAAAGACAGCTATAATTGCTGCCAAAGGTGCCTTAACCAGGTATTGATTCAGGGGAGTAAAATCAATATATTTTTGTTTTTGCCGACATTTAATTTCTTTAACCTAAGAATTCAATTTGAGAGTTCAAGTAAAATATTCACTTTAAATATGTCTACAACTTTTGCAATTAAACAATAGGGGCATCATTACAAGGGGGTGAATACGTTTGCTAGGCGCTGTATATAGTCGCTGTATATGTTAAAATACAAGACTGTGAGCCTAGTGACTTCCATGCTATCAGCTGCCATGAAAAAAACAGTTTTAAACTGTATTACAATGTTTGTTTAGGACATGACAACTGTTTGTTCTTGGAAAAGAAACAGATTAGTCAATGGAAGTACTCATAGGAGAAAACTTTCCTAAAACACACAGTACAGTAGGGTTACATAATTTATTTGAGAATGCAACACCCTCTTACCTTTGGAGAACTACAAACACTTCAGAACACTACTTCATACTGTGTGATCTGTTGTTCTAATCCTCTGACAAGCTCATGTGAACGTCTTTGAAGGAATTCTACCACCCACGTTCATTTTATAGCTACAAAAATGAAGTACCCCAACTCAATTTTCAATATTCAGGTAATCAGGATCAAGTTGCTTCAATATTCTCCAGAAAATAGAATAAAGTAATAAAGGTTCAAACAAATGTTGAAACCATCTTATTAACACTAATGATAAGCACTGACAGCACTTTACTTACATTTCTTCGGGTTCTGCTACTTTCTTTTTCTTCTTCTTTTCTTTCTTCTTAGGAGGTTCCCTTTCGCCGAGCATGTTTTTGGGGCATGCATAACTTAAGTGACCTGAGTCCTAAAATGAAAAAGGGGAAATTGTGACGTCTTTAAATAACATTGAGAAATCTAAATCACAAAACTGCCTTTGTTTCTTTGGTGTAAGCAACATGCTTTGAATTTAACATTAATTACGCAGCTGTGAGTATGGTAGGAGACTTAAATTTCTAAGAAAAGTTTGAGCCAGATAAGATATAAATTTTAACTTACACCACATTCGTAGCACTTCGTCTTGTCTGTATAGTTGCGTCTTCTGATAAATTCGGGAGCTCGCCCATTGTCAATAGCAATACTGGCCTTCACTGTTCTGCCAAACAACTGTGTAGACAAAAAATATTTCATATTTTTCATATATTGATTAGACAAGGCACACCTGACATAGACATTAGCACTTCTTATTGCTTACTTGCTTATTGTTGAGGGCTCTGGCACAGTTCTGTGCCGATTCCTTATCCAAGAAAAGCACAAAAGCCACACCTTTGCTTTTTCTTGTCACTTTATCCTTCACTATTGTCACCCTGAAAATTTAGAATTGCAGAGACAGAATTACAACTCCAGACAAAAGTTCCTCCATAAAGAAGTACTTCCTTGTTCTCTTTTTCCAGATAACAAATGTTAAAAAAGTAGCCTACATTTTCCCCAGATGTTTAATTATTAACAAAATGGAGGATAATTGTAATAATCCACCTTAGTAATATAGTATATTACTCTCAGGTTTTCTCCCTTCTGGGTGGGAATCAGACCTAAAAGATCTAATTAAGTTAGTAGTAAACAGCCAATATAAACAATAGGAAAAACAATTATATTAAATTCACATTTACAAATTTTAACTGAGTTTTAAGTTACTTACTTGACAACTTTTCCATATTTAGTAAAAATCTGAAAGCAAATAACACAAAATTAAAAATAAAATCAGTTTAACTGTCACTCATTTCACAGTAAAATATATTCCAGTGTTGTTCAGGTGAAAGTTTAATTCTACTGTTTTGGGGTATTATTCTTAATATCTTAGCATTGCCAGTTTTTATAACAATAAAACCAAGGAGTGTAAACAGTCTAGCATACAAGCCACCTCAAAACCTGAAAGATCGTCAGTGTATCAACACCAAAATAGGAATGATGATCCCAGCCAGGATTCAAGATATTAAATTCTAAACATATTGTTATACATTGAGAGTAGGTTTTAAGACTTCTACAAGTAGAGCAATACAGTAATCAATGTGTAATATTAAATGCTTTATTATTCAGTACACAGCAACAGTAATAAGGAACAAGGAATCAACATTCTACACTGCTTCTCCGTTGAAAGGAAGAAAAAGAATATTTTGGTAGTGGAGTCTTCTTCAGGTGGAAGGAACCTGATCTTTGCATCTAATTTGCTGATGAGGCTCCCCACTCTACCTTACAATAATAATTATTAATTGCACTTTTATAGTACCATTAACCCTAAAAGATCCCAAAGTGTTAATATATAGGAGGATACACCATCTTCCACCTCTGAAATGTAATTGCCCATTATCCACGGCAGCCACTTTAATGAAGGAAGATTTATACAGTAGGTAGGTACAGTCATTCAAACGGGTTAAATGATCAAGTCGTGAGGAACAGATCAGGATTAAGTCAAGAAGTGAGAGATCATGTAACCAAATGAGTTAAGGAGGGAATTTAGGTAAATCAGATTTTGCAAAACCCAAGTGGGATTTAGCCAAGGCACTGGGATTGATAGCTCTACTCTTAGTAAGTAGTCAGTACCTCAGTTTATCATTTAGTCTGAAGGACAGTCCCTCTTACAACATAGTGGCCCTTGTCCCCATACAGGAGGATTGAACTGGACATTGTGGTCTGGAGGGGAAGGGTGACACCCACTGGTGCACCAAGAGCACTTACAACAGTAATCTGGCTTTCCTTACAGGTCTTCCATCCCAGTACTAAACAAACTCTGCCAAGCTAAACATCTGAGATTTGAGTTGAGACTAGGTTAGAAGTGGTCCGTTTCCAAGCACAGCACACATCCTTGCAATATTTCCAAGACAGAAGATGAGACCTTCAATATTCTGTACATGAAGTTCAAAAGTCAATTGATGATAACACAATCATGCCAAAATGTTCCTTTTGGAATTATATTTGAGAATAGTACCAGCAACTCACAAGGTTACACCATTGGTTTTGAGTAAGTGATGAGATACCCAATAATGTAACTTCAATCTTCTCACAATTAAATGACAAAATGTTTTTTGACATCCAAACTTTTAAGTCAGAAATGCAGAAAGTACTGACATATTTACTTTATTTACCTTTCCACCTGAACAAGAACTTCCAACATAGTCACTGGGGACACGTGGGCTAGAAGGCACAGCCTTTAAAATGTGAATTTGATTCAAGATCCTGTCTTCTTCACCACTAAATTCCACTTTGGGTTTACACAATCTGGCATCCCCAAAATCCTGCCCTTAATTAAATAAATCAAGAACTCTCTGTCTGATATGCTGTGGACTATTAGTGCAAAATGGCTGTAACATGTTAATCAGGCTGTAACATGTTAATCTGATGTTTATGTGGTACATTAAGTCAGATATGTAAGCCCTTATCTGTGGCACTTTGGGATCCTCAGGGATAAGCAGTTTGTAGTACTCATTATTAATATCATATTAAATGGGCTCTTAAAATGTAATAAAGAAAATGTCTTACCAAATCTACATCTTGACAACAGGAAAACATAATATTTATAACTGAATAAGATGTCCACTTGATTTTTAAACTTTTCAAGATCAAGTTTAAAACTTTTTTTTCATTGGCAAACACAAAAATACATATATAATTCTGTGCAGCATACGATTTTAGGCATTCCGTTTTACCTTATGCAAGTCGTTATTAGTCAAAGAAAATGGCAAATTCGACACATAGACTGTACTTTTACTTGGTGCCAATCCACCGCTCATGTCTTCAGTTTGTTTCTACGCATATCCCAGTGCTGCAAAACACAACACAATTTTTGTGAATACACATTAGCACGAAAAAGTGCACAACTAAAATATCATAGCTATACGGAAAACACAGATAGAATATATACTACATCTACTCAAGCATCCATTTGTTAAATACTTTTATTAAAAACATAAATTACGCATCATTTGAGTATCAAAGAAGAAATCAATAATTTAATTAAGCAACTAAATAGTATAGCTTTAGTTTAAGGCAAAAGAGTAACCATGACTGGAATCTATAATCCTATTAAAGAATAGCTGTATTTAATGCTTTCATTCCAGTTTTAAAGGTACGTGTTTTGTCTCGATGATGAATCAAACGTATTGACCAACATAATTATATAAACAAACTGTAAGGACTGAAACATGAATCAAACACTAACATATACAACTGCTGTTGCCTCTGCGAATATTAGAATGGTAATTAGATATAACAAAAACGTATATAAACTCCTTCTTATATTAAACAACACTATAATACCATAAAACATAAACAAAACCTACATGCTGCAACATATAATTTCTTCCGCGTGCAGAACCAAATCGCAATACTATACCAATCTAATATAAAGAGCTAGATTAAATGGCGCACAAAGATGATGTCACCAGGATACTTTGATTGACGTGTTGAACATCGAATTACAGTTGTAAATTTTAAAAGCATCCTGTTCCGTTAGCCAATCACTATCGCTCGGTGGAAGCAGGACGTGACGACAATCTAAGGCCAATTCGCGTGGATGCTGCGAGGGTAAACAATTTATATGATTTAGAGCAGTGCGAGATAGTGTTTTATGTTGTTGTCATTGAATTGCAGGTGATTGCAAAAATATAGTATAAACGTTAAATGAAACTGGTAAGTAGGTTGTTTTATATTTATTTATGAATTAGTTTTGTATATGAACAGCGAAATGTTTTGAGATAAAGTCAATATAGATTATCGGTCTTGTTGAAAGAAACTGAAGACACTGCTTTATCCTCTCTTAATAGCAAATATGCTTAACCGAATGTAGGAAGCTCACCACAGTTAAATTAAAAACGGTGTTTCGTGGTTTCCCGATTGCAGATTTTTTGAGTCACCTGGTAATGTGTTCATCACAATTTATTTGTGTCCGTCTTTTTCTTTTGCATATATTCGCCCTCCTTTGACCTCATTATTCAACGTTAAATTAATTAATTCCTCACACTTACATGGCGGTTTTCTGGACACTCCACTCCACGGGCTTTACAGGCGCTGCAATATGCAGCATCTGCCTGGATTCTTTACAAACTTGCAATCTGCCAGCTAGTGCACAGAAAACGCGTCCACTTGGCAACTGTAGTATTACAGACTGTTATGAAGCCACTGAAAACATGCAAATCTTGTGTACTGAAGAACAACTTTAAATTCTGCGCTATCACTGCCGGCTGGAGCTCGTGGTGACAAACATTAAAAATCTTTCGTCACCGTTCATAAAAAGTCGATGTCTCGATTGGGCTTGCAGTCTGGTGTAGGTTCCTCCTCCAGTCTTAGGTGAATATACTTGGTGTCACCCTTCAAATCTGCAGGGGAAAGTGGCTGTGAACCGTGGCATTACCACAACTAGATAGTTAATTAATTTTGCCAGTTTTATGTTTGTGTAAGTCTGTGCTATATAGTCCTATCATCTACAAACGTTAGACTCACCCAAGAGAAAAATAAAAATGTTCATTAAATGTTGTCTTTTGCTACCCTGTTACACGGTTAGGATACCGAACAAAAAAAAAAAACCCAAACAACTTTCTGAAGACGCTGCATGTGTTAGCAGTCCTGAAGAGTCCCTTTGATCAGGGAACCTCCCCACCCCTTACTATAAAATGTTGTTATATTTATCACATTTATAATGGGGATACAGATTTAACTATTAGCTGCCCTTAAGATGTTGTATAGCTGTTACAATGCAAGTAAAATAATGGTCAATTTTGTACTTGAGTACAGTGCAGTAGTTGAAATTCAGAAATGGTGGTGACCTATAGTACAACTAACCAGAGCTGAAAAACCTTTTTTTTAATTATCATCTGTAAAACAGGGATATAACTATACATTTTTTTGTACCTTTATCAAAAGTAAAAACTCCAGCTTCCCCACAAATGTGACTTGGATAAAGCAGTAAAAAGATGGATGAAATCTTAGTAACTGAGAGACACATTAGTTTAATATTTTGACATGACAAGATATCTCTTTTATTCAGAGGTGCCTGTGTGCTTTTTATTAATTTATTACAATAATTTTCTTCTCGCAGATCTTGAGTTTTAAGGAGGGGAACCTAGCTGAAAATTTCAGTTCCTGTATCCCATAACAGTGAGTCACATTTGTTCTTTTTGTGTGTGTCATTTTTAGATTGTCCTTTTGAAGATGTAGTCTTTGCAGTTATAGAATACTATAGCAACATGTTTTTCAACTTTTCATCTCATGTATTAAGTTGTGCAATCTGCAGTCATTGAGAGTATAAATTAAGAAATTTTAAAATATTTATTTTGAATCATTTACAATAAGTACAATACAATCATTCTGGGCCAAAGTGCAGCACTCAACATCAACATTTTTTCACTTAAACATTTAACTGCTGCAGTTTCAAAATGAAAACCAAAGAGGCTTTGTGTACTTAAAGCATGTGCTAAATGATTGCCAATTTGTCAGTCTTTCATGTGAAATATCCAAAATGTGTATGTGATTAAATTAATGTGCACTTAAAAAACAACCTTAAAGACTTTAATTTGTTAATGTTAATAAAAGTATATTCACATTATGAAAAATATAGTAATTCACACCTCAAAAATGCAGTAAAAGCAAGAAAATGTTGCTTAATCGAGATGTATTGAACTGAAAGCCAGAAGGTATTTAATTACAAATTCACTCAGGCCTTTCAGCCATGAAAATCAGACTAAATTGGTTTGATTGTTAATGGATCAATTAGTTCTTCTTTTGGATTTTATGGTCAGTGTTTGAAGCATACATTTTTAAAAAGGAATGGATGGTCCAGTTTCTCTTCACATGCTTCAGTTTTAGTGTGGTGAAAGTACTTTTAAAAAATCCCCACAAAGTTTCCTGAGTTTCTTTGTGTCTATGAAGTCAATAAAGCAAAAGACACACAATTAGATAATACTTTATTAATCCCGTAGGGAAATTAATGGGAAATTACCTTGATATTTCAAGAATACTCAGGACCTCGGTTTTATGCCTCACCTGAAAGACAGCGCCTTTTTATAACCGTGTCCCTGTCACTATACTA